ACACACACGCTGAGCTAGACAAGCAAAGAAGTCTGCAGGAAGCAAAGGTCCAACCTATCAGATAAGCTTGGTCGATCCTTCTGTGAACACAGTACAGTGCTGGACTAACACCACGATGATGCTGAGATGGATGATATTAGTTCACCAGCTTCATTACAGCAATGGTCATAATCACAGCCCCTCAGCCCCTTGAGACATCAGCTCATCTGGGCATTCACCACGTACCTTGACTCTTCACAGCAACCTGGCAATGAAATGGTGCTACCTACTTCCCAGTGGCAGGTGGAGGAAAACACGCTGACAGAGATGATCACATTGCCTAGGAAATGGGGGAGCTGGGCTCTAAGCCAGAACCCACGTCTGTTTAACTCTAACTTCTATGTCCTTTTTAGTATAGGACTTTACTCTTCCTAAGTAGCTTATGCTTTAACTAGAAGATAAAAGGCACTCCACAACCCATCTGAGGACAATGATCAGCTGTCCTGTGTACCCAGCTCTGCAGGCAGGTCACAGGAGAAGCTGGGCTTCCAGGAGGAGGAGGAGGAGGTGGCTGGACTGGGCTGGTCACAGAGGAGGACCAGATTGTGACTGAGAGGAGTATAGAACAGAGCAGATAAAATAAGTATCAGAGGACTATCAGCCCAGGCCAGGATTGTGTGGGCCATGGGCTAGAGCAGAGGGTCCCTGCTGGGCACAGGAAAAATGGTGGCCCGCAGATGAAGCACAGAGGGGCCGACAGGCAGATCCACCAGGGACCTCTAGTGCAGACCACACGGCCTGCTTCTCAGCCATCTGGGTCATGCCAAAACTTTCAAAATAAACCCACCTGGATTCCTACTCCGCCCTCCTCCAAATTATCATTTCTGGAGATGGAACCTCTTGATATCAACAGGTATCTCTGATGACTCTGGGAGTCTCACTGCTCCCCTGCTGCCAAGTAAAAAACTCTGTTCCAGGCAATAGGGAGCTTCAGTGAGTACTAGAGCAGTTGGGGAAGAATATAGTGACCAGGGAAGGAAAATAGCAGAGTCGGGGCACGAGCTAGACTCAGGTCTAGAAAGGAGCCCTATCTAGGGAGGGGTCTGCTAGGTGACAAGAGCTCCAAAATAAAAGGACCGAGTCCTTAGGAGATGGCCGCTGGATTATGCAAGCAATTCCCTGCAGAACCAATATAGGGCAGCATGGCAAGGAGCACCACAGTCTGGAGTCAGACAAAGTGGGTTCAAGCCCAGGCTCTGCGCAAAATAACCAGTGAGTGACCTTGGGTAAGAGACCAAATCCCTCTCAATTCTAACTTGCCAGTTTGTAAAATGAGCAACAATCATTTCATCGTTGTTCACGGGATGAAAGTATCAAGGATCATGAACTCTAAGTGTTGGCCCAGAACCTGCCACATGGCAAATGTGAAATATGCTGCTGCCTTCATAACCTTGTCCTATTAGAAAGGAGAATAAATATAAGGCAGGCAGGATAGGCGATAGGGCGGGCAAGAAAAAGACTTATTTTCTAAAGCAGAAGACTGGCATGGTGGTTAAGAGAGAGCTAGAAAAGAGAAGGAAGATGCCAGAGCAGATGCATCCCGAATGAGAAATTCCCACTGGAATCTGAATCATATAGTGTGGCTTCCAAGTCATCGACAGGCTTGCTGCAGGCTGAGCTGACGGCCTTTTTGCAAAACCATTTGCAAAATCCCTTCCAGCTTGTGGTCAGAACGAGCCAAGAGCTCTTTAATGGCATCAAGAACTCAAAAGTATAATTCACAATGGAAATTTCAGCCGCAACTATTCCTGCCACTAGTGCAGGAGAAACTTCAGCCTGAAGCAACAGTTGTTTCATGGAGGAGGAATGTGAACGCTGCTAAAAATGGCCTTTCGAGCTGGTGGCCTCCGTGTCTGTTAAAAGGGCATAGCAGGAACACTGGACGGATAACTAGGACAACTGAGTCTGTCAGATGCTGGTAGGGCTGGGCTATCAGACTCAGACTCGGTAGTCGAGGTTCTTCCTGGGACCAGGTAGGGCAACAAGGACGTGCCCAAATGCATCAGTTCCAGATGCGGCAATGAGGGAGGCACATGTGGAGTGATTTTATCCTCCAAATGCATGTATTAGTAACACTCAGAATAATAAGACAGAAAAGTAGGAATAGTCCAGATTGAAGCCATTTAAAAATGTGCTACTCCCAATGATGATCTTACAAATAGAGCTACTTTGTCTTGCTGAGAGACATCAACAGCTCCAGGCAGCTGGAATATATAAAGCACCAGGAAGTTACTTGAAGGCAGATTCATGATACAACTATGTAAACAGTCAAAGCATCTGGTCCAGACCTTTTTGTTTCTTCTCTAGAACAACTAACAACTATTTTGTATTTTTGAGAGTTAAAAGGCGTTCTAGAGGCTTCCTTTAAAAATAATAATAATAATGGCCTTCATCTGTTAACATTGTATTCTATTCTATTTTTGAAGATATTCTTAAATTAAATTTTAATATTTTTACATTAGGTCTTAATACTTTAAGATGTCTAAAATGATAATTTAAAGAGAGGTCCTACTGAGTCTGTCAGATGCTGATAGGGCTTGGCTATCAGGCACAATGCTCCTGGTAATATTATGCTAACAGCAGTTACGATTTCCTGAGAAACATCAATCTCCCATAAGCCTGACCTCAAGAGAAAGATGCTTGCATCATATCCATTTTACTTATTTCCATTTTAGATGGTCAGAGAGCTTGATTTACTTAAATCCTCTTTCAGCTCTTCCTTTACTCCTGCAGTGGCTATTTCCTCCCTTTCAGACCCTGGACCCCTCCACCAGTGAGTGGCAGAAGGGGCACTGGATGGCAGAAGACTGGTCCCCTCCTGCCCATCCTCCTGCCGTGAAGGTGTTCCGCTTCCCTCACTCCGTCCTTGGTGCACAAGGATGATCTTTGGGAAATGACCACAACCCAGGGCACATGTGGCAATCAGGGTCTCCTCTGAGGGCAAACTAACCTGACAATGTTCAGGACACAAGCCGAGCCCTGTCTGGAGGGAGAAGAGACAGAGCTCTGGAGAAACCCAACGTGGATATTCCCATGCAGAAGACACGACCACCAAGGTCCCACTGGGCCCACACTGCTCTGATCAATAAAGAGACTGATGGGGGCATCCGCCATGAGGCCAGAGCTAATCCCAGAGACTACGCTACAGACTTTTTCCAAATGGTGATGGTAATTTTCCCACTGGATAAAAGCCTGGTGACCCAGACAGCCGTAATGGGCATCCATGCACAGGAGGAAAGCCTACAATCTAGTTAAGGAAATAAGGGGCTGGTCCTGAAACTAGAAGGATCACAAGCTCAATTTAACTTGAAGCTGCAGAGGTAAGGGCCGTTGGGACCTACTCGACTCCTTTTACTCTTGCATTGTTCTGTGTCATGACTGCTTGTGGGTAAACAGAGCCCACAGGTCGTGGGATAGAGGCCTGACCAGTGGACACTTAGGCACAGCCATCATGTCACTGTCTGCCCACCCAATGTCCCTTTGGTGCGAACTCCAAACTACACAAGGTCAGGAGAAGAAAGTGATCTTTCTCAGTAGGTAAAAGCTGCATGCAAGACTTTGCCCAAGGGAACTACCAAGCTAGAGACAGCTGGGAAGTGGACAACCTGAGTCTACCAGCTTGGGCATCTGGCCCTTCACTGGGAGACCTGGCTCCTCACCACCAAAAGGCTACAACTGGGCCCAGGAGGCACCATGCCAGCCCACCCCAGGCACCAGGGACAGCTCCCCAGGCCAGATCAGGAGGACCCACGCAGCCTTCTTCTCCATGCTTGGGACCCACCAGCCCACCAGGGAGGACAGAGCAGAACGTCATTCAGGGTTTCTGGCCCAGAGAAGTGATGGAAAGAAGAAGCCAGAGCCCAGGATCTGGTCCCTGGTAACATTCGTTGTGATGCGGTGCACACCTCTTACTCAATGATGGGCGCCCACACTCACATTACAGGGCACTGAAGTTCTTTCTGGTCCTTAGACAATTAGCTCCAGGCTGCCTGCTGTGAGGGAGGCTCAGGCCTAACTGCAAAGCACTCTCAGGTGGAGGTGGGGTCGCTTCTCACATTCTCACCCACCACCTTCTGACTTTGGTAGGTGGGATTTAGGATCTCCACCTTCCATTTTTGCCCCACAGTGCACTAAAGGAATCCAGACAGACTGCGAGAGGAACTGGGAGCTCTCTGTCCCCCATGCCATCCTAACTATAGTTCCCTTTTTCTTTTCTTTTCTTTTTTTATAAGGTCTCATTGCATAGTTTAGGCTGGTCCTGAACTCACTACATAGCCTAGGCTGGTCTTTAACTCACAGCGACCCTCCAGACTCAGTTTCCCGAATGCTGGATTACTAGTGTGCGATGCCTAACTGTATTTTTTGGAGAGATGCTACAAACTCAAAGCTCAACACATAAGCTAGAACTTGGGGCTGCCTGGAACCACCTTGGTTTCTCTGCAAAAACCACAGCTGCGGAACTCCCGGAGGCTTGCAAGCTTTGCTTCCCGCGCTCAAAGGCCAACGCTCGCTCTAAGACAGTTGCAAGTGGGAGGCAGGCAGGCGGTCTGCAGACAGCTGAAGACCCAGGCTCCCGGGGTGGGGGGGGGGGGGTCCTGCCGAGACTCTTCGGGGATAGCCTTGGTCCAATCCTTCTGGCTTGCGGCCGAACAGAACAAACAAGTGAGAGACAGGGGCCAACTCACCCCGCGCCTCCCTCAGGACCCTCTGTGTCTGCTGCGTCCTCCCGAGCGCCTCGGCGGGCTCGGAGCTCAGGCCGCTCCCCTGGCCGCACGCACACTTTCCAAGCCTGGGGCACCTACCTCCTCCACCGCGCTGCGCAGCTTGTGCTGCGTGTCCTCCATCAGCTCCTCAACCTCGCGGAACATCTCGTTCAGAGTAGCCTCCTCCTGCGGGTAGCTGAGAGCCGGGCCTGGCTCGGCTGGAGCCGTTGTCTCCGTGGGAGCCGGCGCGGGGGCCGTGGGGGCCGCCACCGCCAGCAGCAGGCACAGCAGGGTGCGTCCGGGCCGCTGCATCTCGCTCCGCGCCAGCCGCCGCCTGTGCGAGTCCGGAGCCCCGAGCCAGTCGCGGTCTCACGGACCACCCCTCGCCAGCCACGCCCCGCGGCCCGCCCCGGCCCCTCTTCCGACGCCCGCCCTGCTACCCGGCTAGACCCGATGCCAGTTCCGACTCAGTTCCTCCGGGACACTGGCGCCCCCAGTCTCCTCTAGCCTGAGTGCGTCCCGCGTCCCCGAGCCTCCGCACCCTGATCGCCTCCGCACCCTGAATTCTCGTACCTAGGCTGAGCTATGCTTGCCGCCCCGGGCCCTACCCCCTCTCCTGGCTCACTCCAGATTGGTCCCGGTTTCGAGCCCTGCACCTTCCTAGACTGGGTCAGAGCGCTACTTTAGTGCCGGGACCCTCGGCCTCTCCCAGAGCCCACAGGTCAGCCTCCGCCCATCGTGGTCGAAAACGAGCGCAGGGCCCTGCCCCACACCCACCCAGGACAGGCTGAGCTCGCCGCCCTCGCCGCCGCCGCTGCCCCTCACCCGTCCTACTGGCCTGCGCCAGGCTGTGCTGTCGCCGCTGAGCCCCTGGGGCCAGAGGGCGCGCGGCGGGGATGCAGCAGCGCTGATACCCTGCGATCCCACGCCGCAGCCATTGGCCGGCCACCTCCGCACCGTCCCGAGACCCACTTTACAGGAAGCCATCTCCTTCCCCCCAGGGTCTGCTTCCCGGGGATTCACGGGCCGCTGTCCTCTCTGGCCTGGGGTCTTGAAACAGTCTCTGTGAGTTGCATCCGGCCTTACCGCGGCCTTGGAGGTGGCCTTCTCCCAGCGCGTGGTCCCGCAATCCCAGCCCCTCGGCCTTTGCAGCCTGGCCTCGGTCTGCCTGCAGCGGTGGCGGCCTGCTCCAGCCGAGCTGGCCGGCTTGTAGCTCGCTGATGGGGTACCAGACTGACTGCAAGCTTCTAGAGGGCGGCTGGGCTGAGGAGGGGTGCGGGTGGCCAGGGGACCAGAGGCCCGACTCCAGCTCTTCTCCTGCCTGCCTCTCCTGAGGTCAAGCAGATCTGCCTGGCCCAGTGCAAACTGAAGTGGAGGGCAGGGCAGCGTGTGTACCTGCTAAGTGTGCGCTGCTCGTCCAGAAGATGGGACACCTGTGAGGGGTGTACGTGCCAGGTTGCCTGACCAGGGTGGATCGCGTCTTATTCTCAGCAGTGCCTTCCTAGCGCCTAGGACGGGATGTTCAGACATTTCTTACCTAAATGAGTACTTTTCCAAACCTCCCCCACTTTCTGTTTCTTCCTGTAGGGAGTCCTGGCTGACTGTAAGCAGCTCACCTCGGAATCTCCTGCCCTTCCCTTGTCCCTTTCTTCCGGCACCACCACAGCCTGACTTGCTGTAGTCCATCTGTCCACCGCAGGCCCTTTCCATCCTGGGGACAGGGACTGATTCATGCACTTTTGGTCCCTAGGGCCCGGCCACACAGGCTTGGTCCCTGTGTAGTGAGTGGGCTGATCCATTCATCAGAGGCTTTCTGATCCGTCCAATATCAGCATCAATGTTGAGTGCTCACTCAGTGCCAGACAGACCCCCCCTCACCCTCAGGGGCTGGGGTGCTACTTTGTCTCCCAAAGGAAGAACTTCCCTAAGCTCCTGCATCTAGCAATGGTTGAGCTGAGACTTGAACCCAGGAATCTGACTCCAATCCTTCATCATGGGCTATCACGCTTCTCCACCGCGCCCAGCTGAAGGGTGGCTGAGGGCACTTGGGAGATGAGCAAACCCGTTTGGGACCTCGGCTACTCTGTTGCACGCAGATATCTGAGTCCACAGGGGAGAGTACCGTGGGGAGAGAGCATATCCAGGGCCTCCTTGGCCTAGGGCACGCTGCTCATCTCACCGCATGACAGAGGTCACCCAATTCACAGGTGAGGGCAGGGGTACTTCGAGAAGTTCAGCCCCCAGCCCAGCAACCACTAAAACTTGTGCCCTCAAGACTTTGTTCCTCCACCTGCTGCTCTTGGCAGAACTCTCGAAACTTCCTTGTTATGGAGGTACTGCCTCAACTTTCGGGCCTCACAGAAGGGAAAAGTCCCCTCAACCACCCAGCGTCCCCTGCTCTGTCCCTTGGGTGTCTGTCAGCCTTGGCCTGGCCGTTTGTTAGCTTTCTTGGGGCTCTGAGACCTTACTTGAGACCTGGGGCTGAAGTCTCAGAGGGCGGCATCCTCACAGGGCACACACGACAGCTGAGCTGCAGGGTACAGCAGGGCAAACTCAGGGCCAGGCTCGTGCCTGCAGCGGCACGGATTTACAGAGCACAGCGTGTTCCTCTGGTTCCCCATGCTGCTGGCTGAAAAGACCTGGAGCTTCCCCCAGATGAGCTTCTCCTTCCGTCACAGATAAGCGTTTTGTTGTGAGGGCCTGGCTGAACTTACTGAGGCGCTGGTGAGCCAATGTGTGGGCGGAGAGGCTGTGTGTGTCCTCATGTGGGACCTAAGTATTGTACCCCCAAATGAAGCAAGTAGACTAGAGTTAACTCTAGGGAGGGAAAGAGGCAGACAGGGAGAGAGAGATGGATGGAGGAAGAAGGGAAGGAAATTGGGCAGGGCAGGAAGGAAATAAAGAAGGAAAATGAGTCTATAAGCTTCCAGGTTGTTAGGAAGGCACTAGGCCAGCTGCAGAGATGGCTCCAAAGAGCTTGGGGGCTGGGTGAGAGGGGAAAGGCTAAGGTCTGGATGAGCCTTGGGAGGTGAGGGGCACAGGAGTGCAGAGCAGGGAGCAGCCAGAGCTGTAGGGTATTAGGTGCACTTTGCAGAATTATTGTAAAAATTCTAGCAGTCATTTGCTCTGTGAGGACTCACCAAGTCCTAAGCTGGGGCCCCGCTTCGTGGTTGCAGAAGTGACAGCAGCATTCTTGTCATTTGCTGAAGGTTGCCTAGTGGCCACACAGCAGTTTCACACCTGGCTGTCCGCCCATCCAGGTCTCCCACCTTGCACCTGAGAAGAGTCATATGAGGAGACCCTGGAGCAGTGTTTGCAATGGCAGAGTTGTGAAAACTACATACAGTTTCTCAGCAGAATAGAATGAGGCACCGACACACAACACAATACCCTATGACAGAAGGCGCTGTATCCACAGGCCACAGTGCCACCAAACCTGGAACACGTCATGAGGACTACAAAGATAGCATTTACAATAGGGTGTCTGGGCCAGCCAAATAGCTCAGCGGATTAGAGCGCCTGCAAGCAGGTGCAGGGGCTGGGGGCTCCCCAGGACTGCCGAGGCAGCCCCGCCCCTGGAGTGCACTGAGACAGTAATTGAGACCAGGCGTGATGGCGCCACAGTAAGCTCACCTCTTGGGAGGCTGTAAACAAGTGGGTCACTACGAGTCCAATCTAGTGGTGAGACCCTGAACACCCTGTAGACCCTTCCCTAAAATACAAAAGAAATAAAAAATAAAATAAAATGAGGTGTGCAGAATGCCACTTGTGCATATTTAAGACACAAAACAATAGCATATATTATTTATGGATGTTACACATACAGAAAAAATACAGACTTGTGCAGCCAGCCCATATGCGCCAGGCAGGGGAAGACGTGAGGGACACTTGTAACCTCTTAAAGATAAAGAGTGTATCGGTAGGGAGGAGTGTTGAGCAAAAGTGTCCAAACAGTCACAACTGCTTGATCATCATTGATTACAGAAAATATATATCTAGGGCGTGTTTGTTTTATTCTTTTCAGTGTATTTGAAATATTTTGTTAGTAAGTTAGCAAAAGAAATGCAATTTCCTCCTATGAACAAAACAAAGCAACAGACAGACATACACAGACACACACACGCACACGACCACCAAAAGGCCTTCTTCTAGCCCCACAGACTTTTCTTAGCTCTCTCCTTTTCCTTTTCCTTCTCCTTCTCT